CAAATTCCTTAATATACCATATTATAGTAATAATTATAATCAATAAAATAACCTTTTCATCGATATAAATAGCTTCTATTTATTTAATGATAAAACTGATATGCAAGTCGCGAAACTGCAAACAACAGTTACATTGTAGCTAGTTTGCATAGACAATATGCGATACGTGAATTATCGGTCGGCCCAATAATTACTTTCTTTTTTCAAGCATCATCGATCAGAATTCATGCAAGCCATAAACTTGTCTCAAATGCTGCTAGTATCTTGTGATGTTCCTTGGTGCACCGCTATTTTTCGTATTGATTGCAATTTCAATAATCTTCCTTCCACTTTGTGATTCCGCGAATGATACGGAAAGTAATCGATTGATCTTTTATTGGCAGTAATGCACGCTATTTCCTGTTAAATATAACAATCTTGGTTTAATTCTTCAGTCGTTAGTAACTTTTTCTATAGTTCTAAGAAAAGGATAAAGAGTAAATTAATTAAAGTTAATCTATATTGATAGAAACGGAAATAAGAGACATGGATAATGACTATTATATATTCTTAACAGACAGGAAGTAACGTGCATTATTGCCGATAAAACCAATCGATTACTTTCATGATGATAAATCGTATCATTCATGGAATCAGAAGGAAGGAAGATTATTGAAATTGTGATAAATACGAAAGATAACAGTGCATCAAGGAACAGCATAAGAGATTCGTAAATATATCTGTGCGTTTGTCGATAAATTATAAGTTCCCAAAAAGTTGAAGCAAAAATCTTGGACTAAATGATTGAACAACAAATTAAAAAAATCAAGTTATAAATGTTAGCAAATGTCTTAATACAATGGCCGAGAACTACACTTACTTTTTACTTGAATAAAAAATTACAGATTGTGCACACTTTTTTTTTGCTATGAATGACACTTGTAATTAGTCACTCATTTAGGTTATACTTTAGAAGCGCAAATATATCATAACCAAAATATATTTTTAATTTAATTTCGAAGAATTCACTTTATCAAAATTTTAATTTGACAGCTAGTACAAGAATATTGGAAAGAAGAAAACTGTCTTAAAAAACTTATTTTTTAATAAAAATGTAACAAAAATATCATTAAAAATAATATTTACACAAATATTCATGAATTATGCTATATATTTTATATAGCGTATATAATATTATATTATACATAAATCATAGCGTAAATAAAAATCATATGTATAATTATTATATTAAAATCATATATAATCTATGTAGGAGTTTTATTGACGATTGTAGAAAAGAATATGTCAAACATTGACATATTCTTTTCTACAATCGTCAATAAAATTCACGCGAAAGTTCGTATCACTATCAGGAAAAATTTAATACATAAAAATTTCAGGAAAAAAAGAGAATACCTGTATTATTATATTAGTATGATAATTTATGATGTAAAGTTTATATTTTACGAAGATATGTAGCATGTTTGATCTATAATTTTAATTTAAAAAAACATTGATCTCTCTCTCTCTCTCATTCTTATAATAACATGAATAAGAGAAAAAAATATATATATTTGAATATAATACATAAAAAAAATGTATATATATGTATATAAAATTTATAATTTTTTTTTATTTTTATTTATATTATATTAGTTTATTGATATACATATATGTATATAAAATATAAAAGCTCTTATTGCCGAAATTTATCAATAAGATTTCAAAGTTGTTTTTCTTATTAATAGCTTTTTCACTTACAGTTAAGAATTGCTTAGCTTGCTAACGACTAAACGCTGAGAATAACAGCCGTAGACTCTCTAACTGGATTGCTAAGAATTAAGCGACACATCATGCTGAAGACACGTACCGCAATAGTTCAATGTCTATGGCTATTTTAAGTACTCGCTAGAAAATACTTAGATAAAAAAGGTGATTACAAGATACTATAACTTCCAAGCTTTTCTTATCAGTATCTTTTGATAAACCAAATGACTAATAAATTTAAATATTAGCACGCGTAATAGATATACGTACGACTGATAAGAGACTAGATATAGGAAGCTGATATGGATCCAACAAAAGCAGTATCAAATTAAAAATATGCTAGACGAACGTTAAAGGAATCGTCTATCCTTCGGTATTATTCGCTGAATGCGTACTGCTGTTGTATACGCGAGCGTGTAAAAGGATCTGCGGTCAGAGAGGTAAGAGGAAGAGACGATACGAGACTTCCACAGCAGGGATGTGAAGCGTACGTGCTGACAGGCGTGTACGGAGACAGGACTGGCTACTAACATATATGGTGGAACGAGGTCGAACGTCTCTCGAACCTTCCATGGACGGGTGAGACTGCGCTGTTTGAACCTATCTCGATGAGCAATGGATACAAATGTCACTCGATCCATGTCTCATCGGTTCACCATGTGTTTTAATGATACAATCCTTCAATTTGAGGACTTGTGAATAACTGACTTATGTACTATCTATACCTTTTATATCAGTCTATATTTTAGACTGAAGCACATTACGATTAATTACACATGTTTAAAAAGTTTGTCTTTTTCATTTATTATCGTTTAAAGAAATTAGAAAAATGAGTTATTTAATTTGTTGGCTGCAGATTACATTATCATTATTTTCTTGCCGTAAAGTCTTTATGTATTTCAAAAGTTGTTTTCAACTAGAAGAACAAAAAATATTAAGAGTATGGTACCTGTTCTTTTAATAATCTAGTATTAGGGATTAAATATACAAATAAAGAAATACCAAGGTTTGAAATTATGTGGAGGAATATATTTATTTTGAATTTATTTTAAAGTTGAACGCTTCAAACGCTGGGAAATGCATATTATACACAATGAATAGCGTGAATAGCGCAACTTTCAAACAGATCGATATCTATTAATGTATAATATATTAGGTGCAAATGGAATAAATGTGAGAGATCGATGCAACTTGTCCTACAAATTATCATGTGAAAATGCATAAATGACGCGGGCGCTGATAAAGTGATATACGTTGCAAAAAGATCTTGTTAATAGTTGACAAGCATGTATATTATTATGTTATAAGTGTATATCATTATAAAATATTATTAAACGTAGTAACACTCGGAAATCTTTTTATCCCATTTCTTTTTTGTTTTGCTAAATTTCAAATCTTTAGCAAAAAAAAGTTATTACAGTCTTGCATTGATAGATAAAATATTGTCTTTTATAGTATTATAAGAAGGTATGTAATTAATTAAATGTCACACAATCAATAATTTTACACATAAAATTAAAAAAATTTTTATTCATTTTATTTTTTGTAAGAAATTAGATCAAAATATCTTTAATTTTTAAACTTCTTTTTCATACATAAAAATGTTTCATAATATCGCGAAAAAGAAGTTTAAAAATTAAAGATATTTTGATCTAATTTCTTACAAAAAATAAAATGAATAAAAATTAAAAAAATTTTATATGTAAAATTATTGTATACATATATCTGTGAAAAAATGTACGAACTACGAATGTGTAAAACTTGGAACGTAATAACATGAAATATATTTCATGATGCAATTAATACAAATACAAATGTTCTTTTATAAAATGATAAAGAATACTCATTTAAAAAAAAATTTGTTCCATTTAGTTATTATTGGAATCAAACATATAGTGATAGTGACAAATCGGGGATTAAAACATGGAAAATTTATCAGTGGATGATTTAAAATCAATCTACGTTTCATATAATATTTATTTAAAAAAAATATTTTCAATTCCGATAGTAATAGAGATATAAAAACTTTGTATAACAGTATGTATACCATGAAATTAATATTATCCTGATACATATATTTGATATTTAATAATTAATTACAAAAATTTAGTCCTTTCGAGATGCTAATAAGATTTTAAAAAACTCAGTTCGAATCCTTTTCGCATTTTATAACAATATAAATAATTAGTAAAAATTAAACCATTATGGTATCAGTTCGGAATCACTGTAAATGGAGAGATTACCTACCAAGTTTATGAAGTACAGAATCGAAAAGAGCCAATAAAGAAGTTACTAAAAATAAAAACATGGAAGATTATGCAAATTTAAGAAAACAAAAATAACACCATTTAAAATGAAGAATATGAACCATAGTGAGAATTTTCTTTGAAAGTTGAATGCCGACAGCTTGAAACAAGTCAGTCTACGAGAACGCATTAATATCTATTCAACGCGTGCTTTTATAATTTATAATGTATTGTTCTCCAGAAAAATTGCCTATTGTTCACTGTAGAAACGCAACAGAAATTCGGATTGTGGACAAGCACACCTCGCGATTTAAAGAAAAAGAGACGCAAGAAAAAGAAAGAAGACAGGAAGAAACTTTCGGGCGCTGATTTAATATCTAACCGGTTACATTTAGATGATCAAGTTCTGATGCAACACAGCGCGGCGCCAAAGCACTCGGAACGAAGAGCGTGGGTAACACCGAGGCCTCGCAGAGATCTGATAAAATCGCGCGCGGCGCGTCGCCTCGCGTCGCACCGCTCCGCGCAGCACCGCGCCGCGACGCGACGCCGCGTTCCGCGCGAAAACGCATTCCCCCTACGGACGCGCAAAAGAGGCGTGGTTTATGTTCGCAGCGGTGTGTATAAGAGACAAACCTCCCGAACCGATTAGCAAAGTTCCCCAAAACACACGTAACACCAGACTTTTCCATGTCAACCGAGTCGTAGGAGCGTAACGACCGGACGATTGAGAAAATCGACACGAGACGTAAACGACAACAAAACGGCACATTTTGAAGACATCAAAACACACCAGTGGAGAGAGAGAAAGAGAGAGGGAGAAAGAAACAAACAGAGAGGATAAATCAAGATTGTTGAACCCGTTCTCCAGCGACAAATCATCAGGAATTCTTCTTGTTGTTTAAACACGCACCGAGGAGAGCCGCACGTCATCGACATAAGGCCATCGACGTGTAAAAAAGAAGAATTTTGCGGTCGCGAGAGACGAGGAATCCGATTTTTTTTTTATTTTGTGAAAAGGAATTTCCTCACGTGGTGAGATCCCTTTCCCCGGTAGCTTTCCGAACGAATTCGTAGACGGGGAGTAACAGAGAAGCGAGCCGCGGCGTTACTTATATCCGCGACACGGAGCCGGCGTAGTGGTGCGGTGGAGGTGGTGAATCACGGAGACAGGTAGCGAGCCCGCGAGAACGGTTCTCATTTAGGCTCCGATCGTTCCCTGCGTCACGTCTTGACGTCTCTCTCGAGGGTGCGTAACACCACGCCAACGTTTCGCACACCCGCGGCTTTCTTGCCCGACGACGCACCAACGCACGCACGTATTCATCCAACCAAAACCACCCGATCGACCGACCGACCGACCAACCAACCACCCACGCACGCACGCGGAGTGCCGCAACCACGTAGACGGGATATACGGTAATCGAACGCGATCGATCGAAGGCGCGCGCGGAAAGAAAGCGCGTTTCAATCGGTCGCAGCTGCTGTCAACTGACGACGACGACGACGTTCTGTCACTCTGCCCGCTGTCATAACAGAGCCACGTGTGATCGGCTGCGACGTGCGCGCGCGCAAGCGAACGAGTATATACGGAGTAACGCACGCACGCACGCACGTATAATACACATACGCGCGCACCTGCGTACGTAGTCGCCCACGTACGCGTCCGCCGCGCCGGCCGATCAAAGCGCACTGCACGCGCCGGGAGAGAGGAGCCGCGCCGCGACCTAGCCGACGGCCGCACTCGTATATCTCATCGGCGTCGCTCGTCAGGGGCAGACCCGAAGACGCAAGCCCAACCGGAGCAGCTGGAAGTAATTCCTGCTATTTGACGAGATAAGCGGCCGATAACCCACGGCCACGACCGACTTAAAGGCTCGCGCCAATACCCAGGCCAAGTCTCGACGACGACATCGGCGGAGAGTCCCAACGACGACATCCAGCAGCTGCTCGTTTAGAGACACCCAGGCCGCGGATTCGCGAGAGAGTGTGAAAAAGCAGCCGCACAGTCGGCCCTCGTCAATACTTCCCCCTTCCCCCCTACTGACGACAGTACCTACGCGACGACAGGATGCCCGGCTTCCAAAGGAGACAGATGATGCAGCCATGGCCCCTATGCCTGCCGCCCTTCGCGAAAACGAAGGTAAGACTCCACGCCGCCGCGCCGGCCGGGTATAACCACCGGTGGTGGCGGACTCCCGGTGCCGCCTCTCCTGGGTTCTCATCTAGGTTTCTCTCCGCCGCGTCCGGTTTCCACGGCAGGAGCCGCGAGCCGGCCGCCGCCGTCGCCATCCTTCTCTCCGGTGCACCCAACGGTCACCCTCGTTCGCTCATTCACTCACTCACTCATTCGCTCTCTCTCTTTCTCTCTCTCTCTCTCTCTCTCTCTCTCTCTCTCTCCCTCTCTCCCGTTCTCCGTCTCCTCCTGCCTACCTCTTCCCCACCCTTAACCCAGTGGAAATTTCCATTGCACCGGCGGCAAGCGTCTGCCGCCTCTACAGTGCGTTTTTTTTCTCGACTTTCCGGCCGCGACTCTCTTTTCCTGACCTGTCTTTCTTTCCTCTCCTTGCATCACCTCTCTCTCTCTCTTTCTTTCTCTCTTTCTTTTCTATTGTCTAACTTTGGTTAAATTTTCAACCTCTTTACGTCCCGTTTCCACCAATGAAATTTAATTAAAAGTTATTTTTTATCTTCCTCTAATTGTTAGAAAAAGACGAGGAATTAATTGAATCGAGAGATTATAGTTAAACTATCATTAGTGGAAACGAACAGTGACATTTTTTTTTTCAATTTAAGGAACGTAAGAATGGATTATGAAAAAAGAGCGAAATATTGCGATGTAGTATTTTACATGTTAATATAATTGTGCCTTTGAAACTAGGTAGCGCGAATTTTTCCCTCGTATCTTTGTCCCACAGTGATTCTTTACGTCTTCTTCATTTTTCGCAAAGAGAAAGGTCTAAAATTTTGCCGCCTCGTATCTCGACGCGTAAAAGTCGCGATATCGAACTGTTATCATGATTAATTTATCGCATTTATTTCGATTCGCACATTCTCGATCTTGATCTCTCCCTGCGTTGTTCTTATCATCTCGTGCCTGCAATTTCCGACTGTGGCTTCTATATTTAACGAGCGGGAATCGCATGTTAGCTCGGAAAGTCACGGCTTATAATGATCCTCTCGCTCGCGAAATCGCGCTACGTTACATTACGTGCTTTCGCAATAAAAAAAAAACGCTGAGATTTTAGGTATCATGCAAAACGATCTTAAAAACAGCACGGGCTCTTCTGTAAAAAAAAAAAAATCACATCGAATTGTTATCAATCGAACTGTCGTTCCACCTTGTTACAAAATGCCGGAGGAAAGCATGAACAGACAGATTTCTGTGTATATACGTAATTTGGTTGCATCCGATTTTCGTTGTAAGTATCGAAGGAGCATGAAACTGCTCCGTACTCGACGCGAACGAATTCATCTTCGTGGCTCGCCCAGACTCGCCGAAACCATACCGGTTTCGGTCCCCTCGGGGAAAGGCTTCACAGGAGGCAACCGAAGCCGCAGCTCGCGCGAAACTTCATTGTGGGTTTCGCCCGAATCCACGGTTATTTTATAGCTCGCGATTATTTTCCCTGATCTCGTCGAACAATCGACATTCGACTCTTACGTCTCGCGAAAATATCGATCGCTGTGCGCGCGCAACCGGCGCATAAGGTTGGACGAGACCATAGTAAATTGTTCACTTCGAAGAAACAGCGTAATATATGCGCCGTATTTCGGCCGAGACGCGAGATAAATCATTTATGCACGAAAGACCACGCAAAAAAACAAAATAAAAAAAATGAACCGAGTCAAGTCGTAAAGATAAATAATCAAAATAATCAAAATAATCGGTTATACGTGCGATTGGTTGACGTGCGTTATTGATACTGTCCCGTTGGAATGATGGAATAAAAAAAAATTGCGCCGATTATCGTGCACCTTTCCAGGGTACAGGGTGTGGTGCGCGTAGTCCGCAAGAAGTTACGTAACGGAATGAACGAATGAACGAGGAAATTTCTAAAAGTATCGCGGATCGTGTGAAAACATTTGATTTTATCGGAGATAATAGAAAAGTGGGAAAAACGCTGCTTCAACTCGCTTCTCTTCTAGGAATGAGAGTAAAGGAAGAAGACAAGAATTGTTATTTCTGTCTTTTTTTGTTAGCGACCTTTTTTGAAAAGTCAAATCGGGAATACATTATCTCATATCAATCACATTTGAATTCGGACATCCTGTATATCGGACGGTTTAAAAATAGATGCGATATGATTCTTCGCGTCGACGCATTTTATCAAGAAAGATAAACGCGGGCCTGCCAAACTAAATTTCGGCTGATTTTCGAAAAATGTCCTAATAAAATAATTAAGTTAGATTGAATCTGATCAAATACATTGATCAGCCCTGGGCTTTGCGTGAATAAAAATCTTTTCGCTATTTTATTAAGATAAAATCTAATTTGATTAATGTGATTGCATGTATTCAAATGGATATACCTTCGTTATTTAATCTTTGATCAAATAATCTCTTTGCATTTCAATGAATCTATTGAGAAATAATTTCTTGAAACTAATTTCCTGATTAAAGAAAAAATGATTAATAAGTAATTACTATCTAATTAAAATTTTATATAATAACAATGGTATATTAATGAGTGTTATAGTAATTATTTTTTTGAAGGAATTCATTGTTTTATGTATTATTATATAAAACAAATTAGAAAAATTTTTTTTGTATACATATATATGTAAATTTACATATTACAATTTTTTTACATTTTTAATACAATTAGCATCAACATTGATATTCCGCAGAACAATCATCATTCATCAGAAAGATCTCGAACTCTCTGTTGGGATTGAATAATCTATCGTTGTGTTCATAGATCACCTTCTGGATGGCTCAGTGTTTATCTACCTCAGGATCAGGATATCGAGCGAAAAATATCGATACCTGACTTATTTGGAAGATGTGTATTCATAGTACATTTGTATCGGAAAAGAAGTATCGATAAAAACATCCGAGAGGAAAAAAAAAACAAATCAAGCAATATTTGTAAAAACTACAATTTTTTAAGTTTTCCATTTTATGTAATTCTTTTCATATTTATATATATTCGATGATAACAAACAAAAATGTAATTATAACTTGTTACGTTTTATTTAATTGAAAATTATTGAAATACAGTCACACATGTATAAGTCATACAGTTATCAAGAACTTTTACATACTTATTCGTAAATTTTTCCATAAACTAAAAATAAGTTTACAAATTAGCGAATATTAAAAGTTGTTTACTATTCACATCTTATTATTTTATTTGATTGAGTCTAAAGATCAATGTAATAATATTTTATTATAAAGTACTGAAAATGTAATTAATTAAGAAAAGGAAAATATTATAATGAAAATATCGATACTCTTTCCGAGTTTCTTTCATTTTTTTCATCTTACACACATTTGTAATGTTGATAGAAAGCATCAATAAATCATTTGACGATGAAAAAAAAATTCGACTTTATCATTAACTCTCGAAACTGCTCGGATCCCGTTCCCACGTTTCACGTGGTGCGATGTGCATGTCAACAGACAAGAGCCGGCTATAAAGCGTTATCGTTTTTCAAACATGTTGTATCTAATTTTCGTATACTATACTATACCGATGCTCCTATACTACATGACCGATACTCCGGCTCAAGGTAGGCAAGAATTAAGATAATGTAGGCAAATTTAAGTTCGTTTCGCGATCTACCGCAACTACGCGCCAATATATCTGAAATATCAAGGACGACCGGAAAACCTGCAGATATATCCTGTTGTGGATAATAAAATATATATATACGAGGTATCGCACACAGACATTCGTTCGTTTGAACAAAGAAAAAAGAAAGAATTAATCAATCTGAGTGTAACCGAAGGTTTGATACACTCAAGTCAAGATTGAAGGATCGAGTGAATGCAGGAAGTATGATGTGTTTTATAGTGTTTTGAAGAATCTATTGAGATTTTTTTCTTTGAGATTTCGATCGTCCAAATACACAGCTCAAAACGGAAACAAATAATAATTTGACGAATTCTTTTCAATGGAAATTCAAATCACAATTTGTCGCAGTTATATTTATTTTATTTTAATCCGTAGATATTTAAATAAATACATTTAAAATTGTTCTTTTTTTTTGGTAATTGAATTTGATTTTAAATTAACATGCATTTTTTGAATAAGTAAAATTAAATTGAAGTATGAAGAAAAAATGCAATAATTATTTTACGTACGAGATGTATAATAAATCTTTATTCATATGAATCCAAAATACTGAAAGCATCGTGCAAATAAGATATTGTTTAATTAAATATTATTGCAAAATAACAATCGAGACAGTCGATAAAATGCGATGAATGTATTACCGACTCGGCGTTATAACGTGTTCAGTACAACTGTATCTATTCTTGCTTGTCGATTTATCGGCATAAACCGAGCGCGATGAACGTTTTACTCGAATGTAAGATGGGTTGCTGCTCCACAGACAAAGGGGCTAACACTGTTATATCAACGCTAATTTCGCTAGTATATATAGGGTATTTCATAAATGCACGTCAATACTTCAGGAAGTAAATCAATACACTAAAATAAATAAAAAAACGTCACAGGGTTGGGAAATAACGCGTTACTTGTAATGCCGTTACCGTTTTCGTTACTTTTTTCTGTTTATAACGGTAATGGTAACGTCGTTACATTTTTATATAGTAACGGTAATGAATGTAGCCGTTACTTTAGTTTCCTATTATTTTCTTATTTTATAATTTATTCTTAATTTCTTAAAAAGTATTTTAATCTTAATATCTTATACTGTGTTCTAATAGGCACTGCCAATGTTGAAAATATATAATTCACATTATATATATATACATATATATATACTCATATATACTGTAAATTTTTGGTACGGAAAATAAATATTGAAATACACATAATAGTAACCCTGGTGGAAATAAATCGTTGAAATTGCTGAAAATCGCTAAAATCTCTATCAATTGACTCATTTTATTATGAATTATACTGAAATGGGTCTATTGATAAAGATTTCATCGATTTATTTTCACCAGGAA